TGGGATTACGGTAAGTGTTGATTGGGTCAAAATCATTTGCCTGAAAAGTGGTCTACTGGTTATTTGATATGCTGAATACAAATGACATATCTGTACTGCACGGTAACGCCTTGTCATGAAGATAGGCAGCTATACGGTATGAAATCCCATGGGTCATATAAATGTGCCTAGAAAAGAAGAATACTATTTAGAAAATTGTATCAGCAACTTTAGTCTCAAGCATTCATAGAAGAAATTTGCTGCTATGTGGTTTAACTAACAATCCAAAAAAGTGACTGTGATCGCTAAGGAAAGGGTAGTCCGCTATAGGTCAAAAATTCTAGTAAGTCAGTCGCCAAAATTCGCATCGTGAGAGGGTGGTTTTACAAGTGTATCACTACAAGCGCCAGCCTGATAGAGAATAACTTTTTAATCTGCCTATCAAATGATCCCAGTAGGCGAAAATTTGGGCTAATCGGGCGGTACTGATTTATCATCGTGCAGCTACCGTATCTTTGATAAAGTGGGTTTTGAAAAATGGATAGCTTTTTTCACGATCAGCAAATGAAATAATATCTCTAGGCGAAGTTTCAAGCGGGGTCCCGATGGTGACCTTTTAACGTATGCCCACCACACCTTAACAGTAAGCTACCGTAAGAAAAGGATAATTTTTTTCATAATAAGCGTAACAGTAGCCCTCCCTGGCGAAGTTACACGGATTTGCGATGTTGCCTCCTACCTTATGCCCATAGTATAATCTAGATGTTACTGTAGTGTGACAAAATAGAAGGTTCCTCTCAGCGAGAGTTAACGGTCCTGCGATGCTTTGCGACGGGTTAATTCGTCGCGTTTTTATGTTAAATTTTTTTTTCGGCAAAGTTATAAGTTACTGTATAATATGCAATATGCCACAATATATTCAGTAATTGACTTACTTCGCTTTAATATCTATACACACTTTTTTAGATTGATCTCTACGTTCCTTTCATGACAATGTTGCAGTTCATATTCTTTCTTGGTTGGATGAAGGTAAACAGAAATCTTTATCTGTTATGCGAAATTTCTAGTAAAATTACGTACCAATTTGCTTTATTGCAGGTAGCTGAAGCGCTATTGAATCCTCTCGGAGAAGATGACGATGACTTTGAATGCAATTTCTTGATAGATAAGAATATTGCGGTAACCGTTCGCTAACTCCTTCATTCATGAACTTTGTAGCTTACATTTTTTCAGACAGGTATGGCGATTGTAGACGGTACCTACGGCGTTTGCCCTCAACTTATACAGGATCAATTTG